AAGCTCCAGTGCAGATGCCAGGCTCTTTGCTGGCCTCTGTGTAGTGAGACCAATTCCCACTTCTGACAATTTGCTGAATGTCCTCCCTGCTCTTCATTTCCAGCAGTGTTGTCCAAAAAAAGTTATTCATTATGTCAGTTACCTATGTTCTAGCTAAATTGGTGGCCGGTAAATCTGCACGGATGTCCCACACAGCTCCCAGACGCACTTGACAGCCAATCAGAAAGTTTGTGGTGCTCAGGCGTGTACGTGAACCTCGGCCAAAAAGTTACAACACATTGAATTTCCGCTGAATCCATGGGCTGTGATTGATTGATCCACAAAGACTATATGGACAACTATTTAAGAACAACAGCATGGAACAGCTTAATTTTGTCATAGAAATATATGTATAAACAGTATATGAGCTTAGACTGACTGTTTATTTACATGTTTTGTTCTGTTATCAAAATGAATGCAAATTAAATGGTTTAGATTCCCATGATGCACCTGGACCCTGACGCTGGACTATAAACCAGCCTTAAAACCACATTGGGGAAGTGCACATGAGTTCAGGGGTCACCAAACTTTTTTCTCTGGGGCCACATTATCACTCCTGACTGTGATGGAGGCCATATTACGGAATTGTATGACCCTGATGACGCAGATTATATTCTTTGAAAACCGCCGCACTTTCTTTACATATCAGACAAACTGCACAGTCCTTACACGGAACACAAAAATAATCGGTGGTCCACTGTTCTTTGAAAACTCAGCACTCTCTGTCAACTTTTCGTACTTTAACACTCGCTATTTTTGCTACTGCACTACAGAACTCTGCGTGTGCGTTGACTGCCACTGTTTGATCTCGAGCTTGTCAGGTGGCAAAATTTCATCAGCAAATGTAAATATGTCATATAATTACTTAAATATAAATATAAATACAGTGGTCCCTCGTTTATCTCGGTGGTTACGTTCTAAAATCCGCTACGTAGTCAGCTTTATATTTTACAATTATTATATCTGTTTTAAGGCCATAAAACCCCTCACCACACCCTTTATACACTTTTCTCAGACAGGACAGTTACCTAACCCTTTTTGCATCCTTCTTAAAATTTATTGCTGCTGCCGTCCTTAGGTTATTTTCCTCCTTCTTTATGTAACAAACCAAAGATTAATTTATTCCATAATGGAGCCCTACAGATCAGAGTCTTACATGGGTCCATTTTTGGACTCCTTCACCCGCACAGTACAGCACCGTACCCACCTGTTAACCCGAGATTATATCAAACTTTTGCGCTGCATACGCCACGGACTGAACCAAGACTAAACCAGGGCTAAACCAGGACTAACCTAGGACTGATTCCAGGACTGAAACAGGACTCACTGTCAGGACAGGCTCAGAGGTGAGGAGAAAGGATCAATGTAGAGCTCCGCACCCCAGGGAGGTAAGCATAACTGTCGCCCGATCGCGCTTTGCGGACACCCTGCTTCAGTGTTCTCTCTTTTAAGTCCAAGATTAGTCCTGGTTTAGTCCTGGTTTAGTCCTGACCCACTCATGTGTAATCACTACCCGCCCACATACCACCCGTAAAATTCCAGAACATTAAAACCCGCCCATTTCAGCAACTATTTGCCCGTACTCGACCCGGTGCAAGACTCTGCCACAGCTGCGTAACTTCTACCTTCCTTCAGCATGTCCAGAAGTCCAACTTTTTGTGCAATGGCTAGCGTCTTCCTCTGCCTTTTGGGTGCGACTGCAGAAGCCTTTGTTGGTGCAGACATTGTGGATTTTGTCAGGGAGAAAACTTGCAAACATATAGCACTTCAGAATCACACTGCTAGAGATCGAACATTTATTTAATTTGGGATCTGAATGCATTCTGTACTGTACAGGAGACACGGCACAGAGGAGGACATTGACTGACAATGGTCTACAGTCTCTTATCCAGGGGGGTTCATACTCCGTAAAAAAAAAGGCATGCAAAATGTAACTAAAAAAAGTCTGTGAAACAGCGAGACAGCGAAAGGTGAACCACGATATAGCGAGGGACGACTGTACTTCATATAAATATAATTTTTTAATTGAAAAAAATTACAAAATACAAGATGCTGACGTGTTATTATTTGCCAAATTAAAAAAATAAAATAAAAAAATAGGCCATGACAACTTTTGAGGATTGCCTCATAGGGCCAGTTCAAGTGGTGGAGGGCAGAGGGGCTGGGGGGCCGGTCAGAGGGACGTGGCGAGCCGGAGTCAACCCACGGGCCTTAGTTTGATGGCCCCTGCATTAGTTTGTTTAGGACCCTATCTTCAAATCTGAACCATGATCTTTTTGTACACTGATTTGGCAAATTTGTGTCAGATGCCCTACAGCAGACTTATTCATGTATTCAAATGAAAACATACTTCATTAGAGTTGTAAGTTGTAAAGTGAAATTGCATTATTCTTATTTTCCATGTGTGACTATTGTAAAGTATAGCATAATAAGAATTCCACATTGCACAAAGTTCATCAGCTCAACAAAACAGGAACCTGACAGCATGTTTCCTCTAGATGTCAGTAATAGATGGTCTCCACACATGTTTAGGACCTCGCCATCGACTGTTACACCCCCACACGTCCAGTATAAATACACTACAGCCTCCACGACATAAAGGTTACATAAAGCTTAAGACAAAGGGGTGTTTTTAGGTCAGTGGTCCCTTAGCGTGGGAGACAGACGCGCCGCTCTCAATATCTCCTTTAACCACAGTGTAATGGAGGCACACTTTTCGGATTAGCTGGGCCTTTTTGAACTACTTAGACTAATCTCCTTTGTGGCACATAGAACAGAGTACTTTAGGAGCATTAGACCCTGACAAAGGACGCGTGGTGTACAGATTAAACACTCATATGGTTTTGAGACCATTTAAACCAGACAAGGATTTCCACTTTCACTCTTCTTTTTTCTGACTACTGCAAATCCAACACAGAATATTTAAAATAAGCAGTTTAGAGATGTTTAGAGATACAATAATCGCCATTAGGTCAGTGTTAAATAAATACTTAAAGAGATTGTACCCGATTTATTCACGTGTTTGAGCAAAATGCACCTTGTCCCAGTACAGATATGTTGTATAAGCAGCTCTTGAGATCAGAATAGGTTTGCCGTGTGCTGTCTATTTAGGAAGCATTTTTATTGTGATTCAGAATCTCTTTTTCAAGGGAGACCTGGCCAAGGTAGCAGCCAACACAGTTAATACAAAACAGGAAAATCACAAAATACACATTATACCATTTGCATCTCTCAAGAAAATATGCCTTGGTTACTGCACTTTTTACATTGTTTTTAACTTATCAAATGACACCTTATTTTATTCTTTGATAATTCCACCATACTCCTCATTTCTAAATTCCATTGAGGAATTATTATTTTCTGCATGGAGTTCGAAGGTATACGACTGGCAGCCCTATACAAGAGAAAGTCTGTTGCAGTTTATGGACCGAGCACATGATGAAAACTGGCCTTTTAACTATACTTTTCCTCATGCATCTTTTGCTTTTCTGGAGTGCCTGGTTTGCCTTTTACCTAAAAATATTCTACTGTTTAACCCAAGTGGCAGTGAAGTTGCGAGGCCCCCCAAGCCAAATTTTGCTTAGCGCCCTTTTAGATCCGGCTCTGCTCTGAGAAAGCACTGGGCTGAAACTCCACACTCACTAATGAAAATAAATTGGAATCTATGGTGTTACTTAATAAGTTCAAGAAAATTGTAAAAAAAAGTGTGATAACCGAGACGTGTGTATGTTTTTCTTCAGAGGTGTAAATGGTTTTATAATGTGAAACCTTGTGATTTTCCTGTTTTGTATAGATTGTGTTGGCTGGAACCTTGGCCAGGTCTGAATCTCACTGGGACCTCCTGGTTTAATAAAGGTAAAATACAAATAAATAAAATTAACTCTAATTGGACTAATTTGACTGTTGTGTATATTTTGGATCCTGTCCTTTCTTTAAGTATGAACCAAGTGTGTCTGAAATGAAGAATAGAATAAAATAAACAAAATACTGGTTAATACTACAATAAGTTAACATCAAGATATTTTTGAGAAATATTAATTATCACTGTAAATAGATGTGGTTCTAAAATATGAATCATATAAATACATTTTAATTAATTAAAGATTTATGAAATACATAATTTTAATAAAAATAAATAAGTACGTAAAATATGCATTTTGATTTAAATTGCATAAATTGCAACATATATTCTTGATTTTGAACAGTTTCTGTTATTTTATTTAATTTAAGTGTGTGAACACAGCCTATACAGGAATACTAAATTATATGTGAATTAAACTAAATACAACTCAAGGAATGTTTTTTATATTACAACATTATGATATAGTTTTAAACTCTGTTTAGCAAACAACTAAAGTGTATTAAATAAAAACTAAATAGTGTTCCTGCATTTTGTTTGATAATTGCCAATAATAAGATCAAATATGAAGCCAGAAAAGTATTGTCTGGAAAGTCCAAAATGATGTATCTTTGTATTTTTTATATCGAGGGATGTCAGTCTGGTCACCACTCCTTTTGTTGTGTCTCGACCGGACTCAAACACGTCAGTCAGATTTGTCCATTTCAGTGACATATGTGAAATGAAGGAGCTCACTGCACACTGATCATTTACAAAATTAAATTTGTTTTGATACAGATGGACTTCCCCTGACTTTGTGAGTGGTTTTGTGATGACCAGGAACTTGTAAAACTGTGTCAGAGATATTTGGCTTTTTAGTTCCTCATACACTCTGAATATAAACTCAAAAGTGCAGGGCTTTATAATGTGATCATGTGAGGCTGTAACGCAGATGTAGAATACAGGTTTTCTAACAGAAGAGGAAAAAGCATGACTGTTTCAGAGTTGACCAGAAGCAGGATGGCTTTATTGGATTAGAGTGGACAAAAAACAAAAGTATGGGTTTAATAGATTCACCAAAAGGCTTTAAGAGTAAAATTATTTTATTTCAATAGCACATACAAATGAGTGAGATTGTGTTTTGAATATAATTAAATGACAACAAAAAATATATAGTCTGTAATAGGCTGTAATTCTATCAAAATAAAATTGTGAACTGAGCTAAAATATTTGATTTATTATTATAGAGATTGTGATAATTAATTATTATTATAATGACTGTTAAAAATATGATTTGGTCTAGAGTCTGCAAATGAAAACTATCAAATGAAACAAAGAAGAGATAAAAAAGGAAACAAAGATCAGCACACAAGCACAAGGGCATTATCACCAGCTCATGCACTGAAATACGGAATATGATTTAATCAGGAGTGAAACTATCAAAATAAATACATTTTTATAAATCATTTTTAATGGTTGGGAGGCTTGGTTCTGTCTTCTGGTCAAGGCCATGGTGGAGTGCGTGCTATTTCATTGTAAGGACTATTAGTAAATCGAGCTTGGTAACCTGAAGTAACTGCAGTACCTGTGCAAAAATAATAGGTGTTATAATAACCACAGTCTGGGCCTTGTTCAAATGCGCTCGCCCATTGCCACTGCTTGGTCAGATACTGATCTGGGGTGTCTTTAGGAGACTTGTACAGTGCTACCCAGGAACTATAAAAAAATGATTTCCACTGTTCAAATCTTTTCTCTATGTAGAGCATAAAACAGAATGTTCCATTTTTTGCAGCAAGCTGCAGTTCAGCACACTGGCCACAGATTGGAGCAGTATTTGCGCTTTCAAATTTTAAGCTTCTGCAAACTTCTTCCTTCATCAAATAACCCTGTGCTTTGTGCAGCCGGACCTGCAGCCCCTCATTCAGGGGCGCTGAGGTCCCCTCACTGCTCTGGATTACATTATATGTGATATTATTTTTCTGGTCCATCTGGTTGTTGAAAAGCACCATGACTGCTCCATCGTTTATCTGGTTCTGAGGAACATTTCTCCAAACAATCTTGGCTTTTCCATCTTCTCCAGTTTTCACGTCAAGCTGCACCTGTTGCAATCATCTGTTATGTCCACTGCTGAATCTGTAACCTGAGGACTCTTTTGCTTGCATCTTCTGATCATGTTGGCTCTTTGTGGAGTTACAATCAGGAACAGCAGTCCAAGGCGAGCTTGGTCTCCACCCCAGATGTTTGTGAGGTCATTTAACTGGGTGTCATCAATGTTCTGGTTGAACTGATCCCTGAGCTGCTGCAGTGTTTGTGGGTTGTTGGTGAATGAAAATAGTCTGAGTTGTTGGAGCAGGTCAGTGGTTAGTTCAAAGGTGTGGTTTGGGTCATACCTGGAGCCTTGCCTGCCCTGTCGCCTGAAGTGTTGGGTGAGATACAATTGGCTAACCCTGCGAGATCCACCAGTTTGTACCTGAACAACGATGTGATCTCTGTCTTTACCCATCCACACAGGGTCTCTAATTCGAGGGTAAAGAACATTGGGTGGATTCAGATTGCCCACTCTGTAGTACTGGTATCCCTGAGGAACTGGGGCCAACAAACCATCATAGTTTCCATAGTAGTGGGAACCAAAGTCTCTACTTGCGTCATAAGTCAGACGTACAACATTGTTATTATCGATGTCAACTGTGTTGGCAAACCAGTGGAGCAGGATGAGGTTGTGCATCGGCAGATATTTCTCTGAATAAACCCTTTTCAAATCATCAACTGAACTCAGCCTTTTATACACAGCCTCATCGCTCAGTGCTACGAGTGTCAGGACACAGAGGACGATGACTCCCAGAGACATCTTCAATCTGTAAGAAAAAGAAAGAGTTTCTATTTGTGAAACTTGTGGTCAGTTTCAGTCACACCACATAGAGGTCTGAGGACAAGGAAGCACCAAAGCTTTTATTTCCTGCTGGTGATACGGGGTCTGGAGTCTGAAGAGTGATAATGCATAGCAGTTGAATAATTTGTTTACTACAATTGATTGGCCTGGCATCTATGAGAAAAAAATGGGGTGACAAATCATGTGCAAATAAATACCTTTATTCAGTGCATTTAGAATTTAAAAATATTAAGCAAACAACTGAAGACAATCTTAAGGAAAACATCATTTTTCATTGAATTCATTCTTTTGTATTTTACTTTGATTCCTCCAAGGGTTTAGCCCATAAGGGTTTAGACTAAAGTAAAAAGTACTTATGCCTAGCCCTTTTAAACACTGACAGAACTCTAAGAAGAAAAAGCAACGTATGAACAACAACTTTGCGTTTACAGTTTCACCAGCACTTTCTGTACATATAAGAGGGAAAAAATGAACAAATTTAATGCATGGCTCATTCTAGAGCTCTGTACTGTAGCTTTAAAAAAAATAGTGCTTTATACCTTTTCAATACCTTTTTAACCTTTTTAAGGCTTCTTTTGGAGTAGAAAATTTTTTATTATTATTATTATTATTATTTTACTATATAATATATATATATATATATATATATATATATATATATATATATATATATATTTATTTTTTTTTTTTTTTTTTTTTTTTTTTTTTTTCCAAATTCATTGAATGTTTATTCATTACTAACTGTTCCTTTATTTTTGTGAGATCTTTTTGTACAGTGTGCAGAAGTTGTTTTCCTGAACACCTGAGACTGGTGTCATACACAAATAGGATACAGCTTAATTTGTCCGCTGACTCACAGACATCATTCATGTACATACTAAATAATTTAGGCCCCATGATGGAGCCCTGTGGAATAACATGTGTAAACACCTTTCTGTCAGAATTTGCATTATCTATATGTACACACTGATCACTGATCTGTCCTTAACTTTTTTTTTTTTTTTTTTCATTTTTCTTACAAGTAGCACATGGTCAATAATGTCGAAGTCCTTCTTTAGATCTACAAATGTCTCTGGTTGTGTACTCTCTATTGTCATTTGCCTCTCCACACGCTGATGGATTGAACTAGCTCTTTGTGACCTAAAGCCATATTGGTGATCACTGAACAGTTTGTGTTTAGCAACAAAATTATTTAGTCTAATTACAAAGTTTTTCTAAGATTCATTAAGATCAAAGAATTCCAGACAAGTATTTACTCGTAAAAATACTTAATTTAATAAAATAGATTTCAGATTTAGATTTAATTACCTAGTAGTTTGTTTGTTTGTTTGTTTTCAGGGAGTAGATAAGATTTTACTTACACATACAAGTAAAGAATAGAATACAAAATATATACATTTACTGGGCACTGAGAAGACCATAACAGTCACTTAAAACCACTTAATAACATGTTTCTGTTATAACAGACATGAACAATCAAGTTGACTTGTTACAGTAATTTTATTAAACATTTGTATGGATTAACATTTGTTTTCTTTATTACCTACAGTAGATATAAAGATGTACAGCAGATAATGATAAATGTACTCACCTGTTGTCGCAGTGATGTACAGTATGTGGTCGCTCTGGAGGTGTCCTTTGGGGAATTCAACAAAGAAATAAAGCATGGCCAGGATAAACTTAATATTTATTACTCAGATCAAGTCCAGCCCCTAAATTCGTGAGTCATCTTTCATTACCAGGAACTGAATGTACAATGCCTCTCACCCATTTTTGTTCTTCAATTTCTGATTCTGCCACCTATAAAAACTGAGGATAGTGCAACTGGGTGTCTGAGAAATACAAGTTTAATACAAGCTATTAAAAATGAAAACTAACACAAAAGAAACAGCATGCTTATTACTTTTCATGGTATATTGTGAGATATTTTGAGTCTACTACTTTTTCACTTACTGGACATTTGGGCACCACAAAACATTGCATGACCCCTACACAGTGACCTAGGGAAAAGTGTGGACATTTGGAAACAGCCAAAATTTTGCAAATGCATTTTTCACTGCTTTGACTGTTTTTGTGGCAGATGTCATTTTTTTTTAGCTCAGTTTTTAAACATATACCATCAAGAAGTGCAGCATGTGCAGTTCGAAGGACGCAAGTAAGGGACTGTTGGACTGTATAAAATGAGCTGTTTGTTTTTCCTGTATCTTGTAGACTGTAGACTGTGCAAGAGACTAGGTAAAGAGCTGGCTATGGACATTTGAGATGTCACAGGCTTTTATGTGGCAGCAAATGTGACAGAAGACCTTCCAGAGGAAACACTTTGAGGGAATGAACTATTTCATCACCAGCTTAACCATCAGAGTGGAGTAAGAGTGAGGGCATTCCTGTTGTGTTCACCTGGATCCCCTTGGACGCTGCTGTGATAATGCCGGACACAGAGGAGTGACACTTTTGACTCTTCTTCACCTCAAACTGCCCTGACACAGATCTGCTGACCCTGCCTGACCAGTCCTCCTGTTAACCTGCACTGAGACCTTTGACTGAGACTCAAAGACCACTGAGAAGCACAGTGTAAATGTTGTTGCAGCAAAACTTGAATTTCCCTCAGGATCAATAAAGTCTCTCTCTCGTATTCTCATTGAACACGTTTTGTTTTTTCCTTTATACGGCAGTGAATTCTTGTGATATTTGAGAGTTCATAAACGAGAATCCAAACTGTGAGGTTTAAATCCACTCAGCAGCAGGCAGACCAATCACAGAGCAGCACTGAGATTTGCACGGAATGCAAAGTGGCCAAGCCATCCAACCGAGAATGTACAAGTACCAGATATACTTCAACCTACCTACATACAGATGATTTTTTTGTGAGAAATTGGGCAGTGAAGATGTTTGTGCTTTTCTCTCAACCAGATATAACTTTTGTCTTTTTTTTTTTTCAAACAGTATGCAGAGTTTGTGCACATATGCCAACAAACTGAGTGGAGATCTTACACCTTTCCAGTGGAGACTGTATACAGATGCTACACAGGAAGCTCCACCCTGAGATTCCTCAAGACCCTTGGGATCAGAAATCCAAACCTGAAGTGCAGTAAAGGAGATTTTTGGCTCTGGCTACGTGACCTCTTTAGCTTCATTGCTGTTCTATTTACATATAAATCACTGAGGACAAATTAGGAATGACACATAAGCCCCTAGACCTACCTCACAAAATATTGGAGCTGAAAATTATCCTGTATCAGACCAATAATGAAATATGGAAATATCTTGCATGTCAGTAGCACCAAAATATGTGATTGCAGGCTCCTACGTTTGTGTCTGGATAGCCATTTGCCAATCACAGAGCAGCATTGTGGTTTGGGCAGAAGCAAAAGTTGAAGTGCCCAAGTGAGCCCAAACAAACATGGCATCGCTGACAGCTGCACTTTAATACTTCTTTTAATCTCATACACATTTGTCTCAAGATGTCTGTGCTTTAATAGGACATTTCATTTTAAACATGTCCATAAAAATGTACTGAAATATGAACTGACAAACTAATGCAAGAATCACATTTCAGAACATGTACAGTTTTCACAAGGTAGAACAGTTTGTAATGTAAAATAAGTCCAGAATGATTGTGCTTCTTATATTGAGGAATCTCAGTCTGGTCACCACTCTTTCTGTTGTGTCTCGATTTGTTCATTTCATTGACCCATGTGAAATGAAGGAGCTCACTGCTCACTGATCATTTACAAAATTTAATTTGTTTTGATAAGGACGGACTCCCCCTGACTTTGTGAGGGGTTTTGTGATGACCAGGAACTTGTAAAACTGTGTCAGACATATTTGGCTTTTTACTTCCTCATATACTGAACATAAACTCAAAAGTGCAGGGCTTCATAATGTGAGGTTTTCTAACAGAAGAGGGAAAAGAATGACTGCTTCAGAGTTGACCAAAAGCCGAAAGAAGAGTGGGGATGGCATAATTGGATTAGTGTGGACAAAAAACAAAAGTGTGGGTTTAACAGATTCACCAAAAGGCTTTAAGAGTAAAATGATTTTATTTCAATAACACATACAAACGAGTGAGATTGGGTTTTGATTATAATTAAATGACAACTAAAGCTATATAGGCTATAATAGGCTGTAATTCTTAGCCCACATTAAAGTAGAACAATGAAAACTAAATATATAATCAAAATAAAATTGTGAACTGAGCTAAAATATTGATTTATTATTATATAGATTGTGATAATGAATTATTATTATAATGACTGTTAAAAAATATAATTTGGTCTAGAGTCTACAAATAAAAAGAAAACAAAAAAGAGATTAAAAAAAAGCAAACAAAGATCAGCAAACATCCAAAATGGAGTTATTCACCAGCTCATTCATGGTGAAATACAGAATATGATTTAATCAGGAGTGATATCATCAAAATAAATCAATTTTTATATATATATTTCTAATGGTTGGGAGGCTTGGTTCTGTCTTCTGGTCAAGGCCATGGTGGAGTGCGTGCTATTTCGTTGTAATCACTGATCATAAATCGAGCTTGGTAACCTGAAGTAACTGCCGTACCTGTGCAATAAAAATAGGTTTCAAAATCATCAGTGTCTGGGCTTTGTTTAAATTTGATTGTCCATTGCCACTGACCAGACAGATAGTCACGTGGGCTATCTTTAGGAGACTTGTACAGTCCTACCCAGGAATAACAAAAACCTGATATCCACTGTTGGAATCTTTTCTCAATGTAGAGCATAAAACAGAATTTTCCATTTTTTGTATTAAGCTGCAGTTTAGCCTGGTTGCCACAGATTGGAACAGCATCTGCGCTTTCAAATTCTTGACTTCTGCAAACTTCTTCTTTCATCAAATAACCCTGTACTTTGTGCAGCCGAACCTGCAGCCCCTCGTTCAAGGGCACTAAGGTGTCAAACTCCCCTCGCTGCTCTGGATTACTTTATATGTGATATTATTCTTCTGGTCTATCTGGTTGTTGAAAAGCACCATGGCTGCTCCATCATTTATCTGGTTCTGAGGAACATTTCTCCAAACAATCTTGGCTTTTCCATTGTCTCCAGTTTTCACATCAAGCTGCATCTGTTGCAGTTCACAGTTCTGCCAATCATCTGTTATGTCCACTGCTGAATCTGTAACCAGAAAACTCTTTTGTTTGCACAGTCCAATCATGTTGGCTCTTTGTGGTGTTACAATCAGGAACAGCAGTCCAAGGCGAGCTTGGGCACTACCCCAGATGTTTATGAGGTCATTTAACTGGGTGTCATCAATGTTCTCTTCAAAGTGATCCCTGAGCTGCTGCAGTGTTTGCGAGTTGTTGGTGAATGAAAAGAGTCTGAGTTGTTGGAGCAGATCAGTGGATAGTTCAAAGGTGTAGTTTGGGTCATACCTGGAGCACTGACTGGGCTTTGTGAAGTGTTTGGTGAGGTACATTTGGCTAACCCTGTGAGATCCACCAGTTTGAGCCTGGACAATGATGCGATCTCTGTTTCGACCCATCCATGCATACTCTATAACTTGAGGGTAAAGAACATATGGAGGAAAGTTCCCATTGGGTGGATTCAGATTGCCCACTGTGTAGTACTGGTATCCCTGAGGAACTGGGGCCAGCATTTCGTCACAGTTTCCATAGTAGTGGGAACCAAAATCTCTACTTGGGTCATAAGTCAGATGTACAACATTGTTATTATTTATGTTAACTGTGTTGGCAAACCAGTGGAGCAGGATGAGGTTGTGCATCGGCAGATATTTCTCTGAATAAACACTTTTCAAATCATCAACTGAACTGAGCTTTTTATACACAGCCTCATCGCTCAGTTCTACGAGTGTCAGGACACAGAGGACGACGACTCCCAGAGACATCTTCATTCTGTAAGAAATAAAAAGAGGGAACAATTATTCCAGTTTCTATTTGTGGAACTTGTGGTCAGTTTCTGTCACACCACATAGAGGTCTGAGGACAAAGAAGCACCAAAGCTTTTATTTCCTGTTGGTGATACGGGGTCTGGGGTTTGAAGAGGGTTAATGAATAGCAGATGAAGAATTTAGATTAACTACAATTGATCAGCCTGATATCTATGAGAAATGAGAAAAATGGGGTGACAAATCATGTGCAAATAAATAATGCATTTATTCAATGAATTTAGAATTTTGAAATATTTAGCAAACAACTGAAGACAATTTTAAGGAAAACATAATTTTTCATTGAATTAATTCTTTTACATTTTACTTTGATTCCTCCAAGGGTTTAGACCGTAAGGGTTTAGACCAGGGGTCTCAAACTCAAATTACCTGGGGGCCACATTAGATAAAGTCTGAGTGAGGCTGGGCCGCATTGAGTATTCGATAAATAGCTGTTGCACGGGAAATGAAGAGAGAGAAAGAACAACACGCAACACACTTTCTTAATCTTTAATAACAGTTCAGAACATGAAAATGTATTTAGAACGTAAGTTTAAACTAATACGTCTACTCTTCTTCTTTTGCCTACTTCTTGCTGGTTGAAACCTGGCTACGCTTCATCTTGCACAGCTGAGAGATATTTGGCTTTCAGGAGGAAGCAGATCCTCAGGATAGATTGAAGATGCTCATCAGTGAGCTTTGACCTGTAATTTGATGGTGCTTTCACACACTTTCACACTGGTGTGAACGCGAACCCGGGTCCAAACCATGGACAGCAGGTCCAAACGAACAATTCGAAATGCATCATGGAAGAAACGCGTCTCTTTTGCCTGCAGCCGCGATTAATTTTCGAATTATTTTACCAACAATGGCCAATACAGAGAATGTAACACACGAAGATCAGAACAAATACCAATGTGCGAACGTGTGGTTCCAGAGTGAGTCAAAGTTGGGGGTGTGTACTTCTGTTGAGGACCTGCACACAGAGAAGTCCCGGTGTTCCCCGTGATCATGTACCAACCAGCATTTGTTATTTTAGGCTTTAATTAACTAAATCATGTCATGGCAATAGGCAATCGCCCATTCAATTGATTCACCTTTAAAAAATGTCCTGCTTTTAGCCTAGTGTGAGAAATACAGCCGGACTAGATCCAAACCAGAGTCCCGAACCACCGGGGGCAGCTCCGGTTCAGGCCGGGCTCAGATGACGTGGAGCGGGGAGTGAAAAGCTCTTTCCCCGGGAAGATCCAAATGCGCGGAGGACGGACACCAACTAAACTGGATTCATGCTTTTGTCCGGATGCTTTGCATCACTTCAGAACTAGCCGCGGTTCTTGAGCGCGGAGGACCGGAGCAGCTCGCACAGACCTGTAGTCCACAGCACATTCTCGCTTTCCCCGCATGGAACCAGCGCGCAGACGGCGGAACGTACCCGCTCAGACCCAGTCATTGACCAAGGACCAGACCCCAGCGCCGTCCTGAGAAGCTGCGCGTTACGGTGAGCGCTGTTGGCTGCTGCTGTTACCCGAACTCTGGGCTGATGCGGTGAGTTTGTACAAAGTTCTACGTTGCTGTTTTATGAGTTCATGGTGATAAGATGAGGACGGCCCGTGGTATTAACAGGGAATATCAGTATTGGTTACTGGAGATATCGCTGTTCTACCGGGATACAGAGGCTCATTAATCGGATCAGTTTTGGTTCGTTTGCCGGTGTGAAAGCGGACCACACTGGAGTGTATCTGCTTCTCCTATGTCAAACATGGATGGAAGACGCTTGTTTCTGCCTCGTACTTTTTGCTAACATGTCGCCAAGCCTCTGGAATAGATCACTGCAGTTTTGTGGTGCTTGCATATTGATGGGACAGCTGTGTGTGGAATTCGGCGACGCACAGGTGGAGCTTGGTCATCGGGTTGCCAGCAAATTACGCACCGAGTGTTGAGCAGGTAAACAGACTGTCAGTGTCTTTTTATTTCTTATTACCTCCTCCAATAAAGGTCCCATACTTATGAACAGGGGAATTCTGTCAGCGCCTCCTCTGCGCTCTGATACTGTGGTTGTGGGAGCGTAAAGTGAAGTGCGCACACGTGTACCACCACGTGTGGTTTGTTTTGGTTCTTCGGTGATGCCGTATGTGCACGTGTATGTGCACGTGTATGTGCACGTGTATGTGCACGTGTATGTGCACGTGTATGTGCACGTGTATGTGCACGTGTATGTGCACGTGTATGTGCACGTGTACGTGTATGTGCACGTGTACTCGTATTAACAGATCCACTTAAACTCATTGCTTCACAACTGCTGTAAATTGAGTTTTGGGATGTAAGATGCGTTAATAATCTGTTGTTGTGAATCTGCATGGGCACCGATTGCAGCTTCATCTGTCAGTGCGGCCCGCGGTAGGGGGGTGGGATTGTGCGTACATCTACTGCGGGCCCGCACTGACATTATTCTTTGGAATTAAGCAGAGGGCCGCAAAAAATCCTTCCGAGGGCCGCAGTTGGCCCCCGGGCCGCGAGTCTGAGACCCCTGGTTTAGACTAAAGTAAAAAGTACTTATGCCTAGCCCTTTTAAACCATGACAGATCTTCAAAGGAAGAAAAGCAGCATATGAACAGCAACTTTGTGTTTACAGTTTCACCAGCACTTACTGTTTAAGAGGGGAAAAATGACAAAATTAAATTGAGTGGATCATTCCAGAGCTCTGTACTGTAGCTTTAAAAAAAGAAAAATAATGCTTTATACCCCTTTTTAAATGCTTCTACAGAATTGGATTTTTTTATTTATTTATTTTTTTCACCATTAAGATTGTTCCATATACAAAACCATCCAAAAGAAATACTTTTTTTGTTTGTTTGTTTTGTTTTTAGTTCTTTTTTCTTTCTTTCTAAGGATACTCTCTCATCATTAATGTACATACTAAATAATTTAGGCTCCATGACAGAGCCCTGTGGAACCCCATGTTTAAGTACCTTTCTGTCAGAATTTACATGATCTATATGTACGTACTGATGACTCTCAAGACAGCTTTTTTTTTTCTTTTTTTTCTTAAAAGTAGCACATGGTCACTAATGTCAAAGTCCTTCTTTAGATCTACAAAGTCACTGGTTGTGTATTCTTTATTGTCATTTGCCTCTCCACATGCTAATCAATTGAGATAGCTCTTTGTGACCTGAAGCCATATTGGTGATCACTGAACAGTTTGTGTTTAGCAACAAAATAATTTAGTCTAATTACAAAGTTTTTCTAAGATTCATTAAGACCAAAGAATTCCTTAGAAGTATTTACTCGTACAAATACTTGATTTAAACAAAATAGATTTCGGTTTTGATTTAATTACAGTGTAGTTGCACAGCAAAATCTAAATTTCTGTTTTTTTTATGGGTTACTTTTTTTAGTTTAGATAAGATTTTTGCACATACAAGTAAAACAATTGAATACAAAATATAAACATTTACTGGACAGTGAGAAGACCATAACAGTCACTTAAAACCACTTAATAACATGTTTCTGTCATAACAGACATGAACAGTCAAGTTGACTTGTTACAATAGTTTTATTAAACATTTGTATGAATCAACATTTGTTTTCTTTATTACCTACAGTAGATATAAAGATGTACAGCAGATAATGATAAATGCACTCACCTGTTGTCGCAGTGATGTACAGTATGTGGTCGCTCTGGAGGTGTCCTTTGGGGAATTCAACAAAGAAATAAAGCATGGCCAGGATAAACTTAATATTTATTACCCAGATCAAGTCCACCCACTGAATTGTGGGTGGACTTTCATTACCAGGAAGTTAATGTACAATCCCTCTCACCCATTTTTGTTCTTCAATATTTGATTCTGGCACTTATAAAAACTGAGGATAGTGTAATTGGTTGTCTGGGAAATACAAGTTTAATACAAGCAATAAAAAATGAAAACTAACAAAAGAAACAGTATGCTTATTACTTTACAAGATACATTTTTGGGAGATTTTGAGTCCACTACTTTTTTACTCATTGAACATTCGGACACCACAAAACATGGCCTAACCCCTAATTTAGTGCCTTAGGGCAGGGGTCACCAACAAGGTGCCCGCAGGCACCAGGTCGTCCCCCAAGGACTACTGGTACTAGACTGATTCTAAAAATAGCACAACTTATTAGTGAGCTGCATCTAAAATTTAATGTTATTCTGTTGCTATTCTTTTTTAATCACCCTTGCATTTATATAGATTTAAAAATGACAATATCTTAAAAAATATATATGTTCGTTGTATTCGTATGTATTTTATATATATATATATATATATATATATATATATATATATATATATATATATATATATATATATATATATATATATATAATCATTTATGCAAATTAGCCATGCGGTTTTAAGTTTCGTTTCTGTAAAATGTAAGCAAATGTGCGCAATGTGTGCTGCTTTATATTATGAAACGAGCTGATAGTGGTTATGGTTTATATGTTGTAAAGTTGAGTTTATTTATGCAGAAGATTTAAATTATGACTCTGCTGCAGTGTAGAACTTGTGCAATAGTGTTTGGAAACGTTGGGATTGATCTGTGCAGTGGATTGTGGGATACCTCATAGCTCCTTACCGCTGGTTAGGAACCTCCCAATCTTCCTACACTAAATGTTTGTATTTTTCCTGGTTTATTAAATATAAAATTTTTTGCACTTGCACATTTGTAAGATTATGTCAAGAAACTGGGATACTACATTTATAACCGGGATCCTGATGTGCATGTAAACACACTCAGAGAAGCAATGATGATAATTACTAACACTGTGCTTTTTTACAGTTTACAATTTATTACAATTTATTAATAAAGTTAAAGTGTTGAATATTGATATCTGTTTCCCACCGTGCTGTCATTGTTGATAATTTTTGTGAGAAATCATTAATGTGATCAGTGTCTTCACATAGATGATTATCATTAATCATTATTAATAATGTATAACTAAAGGAAAGCATTTCAAACTGGTAGCCCTTCATATGACTCAGTACCCATGAAGTAGCTCTCAGTTTCAAAAAGGCTGGTGACCCCTGCTCTATGTAGAGCATAAAACAGAATTGCGCAGCAAGTTCCACTTCAGCACACTGGCCGCAGATTGGAACAGCACGTGGGCTTTCAAATTCTTGACTTCTGCAAACTTCTTCCTTCATCCTATAACCCTGTGCTTTATGCAGCCGGACCTGCAGTCCCTCGTTCAGGGGCACTGAGGTGTCAAAACTCCCCTCACTGCTCTGGATTACTTATTATTCTTCTGGTCCATCTGGTTGTTGAAAAGCACCACGGCTGCTCCATCATTTATCTGGTTTTGAGGAACATTTCTCCACACAATCTTGGCTTTTCCATTGTCTCCAGTTTTCACATCAAGCTGCACCTGTTGCAGTTCACAGTTCTGCCAATCATCTGTTATGTCCACTGGTGAATCTGTAACCTGAGGACAATTTTTTTGTTTGCATCTTCTGATCATTTTGGCTCTTTGTGGAGTTACAATCAGGAACAGCAGTCCAAGGCTAACTTGTTTTCTACCCTTTTTATTTCCTGCTGGTGATAGTGGGGTCTGGGATTTGAAGAGGGTTAATGAAGAGCAGATGAAGAATTTATTTAGAGATTAATGACATTTGTTTAGTGTCAGAGATATTTGGCTTTTTACTTCCTCATACACTGAACATAAACTCAAAAGTGTAGGGCTTCATAGTGTGATCATGTGAGGATGTAACACAGATGTAGAATATAGGTTTTCTAAGAGAAGAGAGAAAATAATGTTTTTTTCTGAGCTGACCGAAAGAAGATTGAGAATGGCTTAATTAGGTTCCTCTGGACAAAAACCAAAAGTGAGGGTTTAAGAGTAGATGATAATAGGCTGTAATTCTTGGCCCACATTAAAGTAGAACAATGAAAACACAAACATATAATAAAAATAAAATTGTGAGCCCAAAATTGTGAACTGAGCCAAAATATTGATTTATTATCGAGATTTCTGTCATACCACATAGAGGCCTGAGGTCAATGGGAACACCAAAGATTTTATTTCCTGCTGGTGATATTGGGGAATGGGGTTTCAGGAGGGTTAATGAATAGTAGTTAAAGAATGTGTTTTTTAGAGATTTTAGAGGTTAACTACAATTGATTGGTCTGGTATCTATGACGGAAATGAGAGATGAGGGTGAGAAATCATGTGCAAATAAATAATGCATTTGTTCAATGAATTTAGAATTTTGAAATATCTAGCAAACAATTGAAGACAATTTTAAGCATAACATAATTTTTCATTGAATTCATTCATTTGCATTTTACTTTGATTCCTCCAAGTGTTTAGACTAGCACATTGTCAATAATATCAAAGGCCTTCTGCAGGTCTACAAAGACACTGGTTGTGTATTCTTTATTGTCAGTTGCCTCTCCACATTTTATTTGCACATACAAGTAAAACAATAGAGTACAAAATATAAACATTAATCTGGGCACGAGAAGACCATAAGTCGTTTAAAACCACCTCACCTAAAAACATGTTTCTACTGTAACATTTGTATGAATCAGTTTGGACACTACAAAACATGGCATGACCCCTACTTAGTGTCCATGGGAATAGTGTGGACATTTGGAAACAGAACAAATTTTGCAAATGCATTTTTTACTGCTTTGGTTGCTTTTGTGGCAGTTGTCATTTTTTAGCTCAGTTTTTAACATTATATCATGGGACTTTACTGACTAAGAAGTGCATCATGTGCAGTTCAAAGGACACAAGTAAGGGACTGATGGACTATCTGAAATGAGCTGTTTGTTTTTCCTGTATCCGTGTAAACAGTACAAGAGGCTAGCTAAGGAGCTGGTTATGAACATTTGAGATGTCACAGGTTTTTTTGTGGCAGCAAATGTGGCAGAAGACCTTCCAGAGGAAACACTGTGCCCTGACACAGATCTGCTGACCCTCCCTGACTAGTCCTTCTGTTAATCTGCACTGAGACCTTTGACTGAGACACAAAAGCCTCTGAGAAGCACAATGTAAATGTTGCTGCAGCATAACTTGAATTTCCCTCAGTAGTCTCTCTCAACACTCTCTCTCTCTCGTGGTCTCATTGAACATGATGCTGTGTTTTTCCTTTATCGGGCAGAATTCTTGTGATATTTGAGAGTTCACAAATGAGAATCCATCTTGACATACTCCCACTGTAAGGTTTAAATCGGGGTGTCAAACATAGTAATTTTCTGCACCGCTTAGCATAGCAGCGTCTCCAGCACCTCTGGACGTGGCCGCTTCCCACCAGAGCAGGCCAAATGAAGATTTGCCTCATTATTTGGTCCACACCAGGCAATAAAATTGTTATTAAGTAGCAAATACACTCCAATGTGGTCCGCTTTCACACCGGCAAATGAACCAAAACTGGTCCAATTGACGTGCCTCTGTTTCCCGGGAAAACAGCGATAGATCCAATTACCAATACCGATGTTCCCTGCTAATAGCACGGGCCATCCTCATCTCAAGTTATCATCATGAACTCATAAAACAGCAGCATGTAGAACTTTCTACAAAATCACTGCATCAAACGGACATAATCTGGACAGAAGCGTGAATCCAGTTTGGTTGGTTATATGTTGTTCTGAGCATTCGTCCTTCTTCCCAGGGAAAGCGCTACTCATGCCGAGGCTCCTAACATCACTCCCCACTCCAGCTCATCTGAGCCCGGCCTGAACCGGAGCTGCTCCCGCTGGTTCAGGACTCTGGTCCGACTGTAGCATTTCTCACACTAGGCTAAAAGCAGGACATTTTTTAAGTTGAATCAATTGAATAGGCGATTGCCTATTGCCATAAAATGATTTGGTTGGTTAGCCTAAAATAACAAATGCTGGTTGCTACGTGAACACGGGGAACACCGGGACCTCTCTGTGCGTGCAGGTCTTGAACAGAGGTACGCACCCATAATTTTGACTCACTCTGGAGCCACACGTTCGCACATTGGTTCTTGCTCTGATTTTCGTGTATTACATTCTCTGAATTAGCCAAAATAATAATAATTTGAAAATGAATCGCAGCTGCATCTGGACAACAACATCTTTTCAGGCAGAGGAGACGTGAATCCCCTCCCATGATGCATTTGGAATAGTTCGTTTGGACCTGCTGTCTCTGGTTTGGACCCGGGTTCGCGTTCACACCAGAGGAATCACACCAGAGTTTGGCATTTGGTGTGGATTCAAGTGAATCGAGACCACCTCTTTTTTGAGGTCTTGGTCCGCTTAATTTGGTGTGGGTCCGAGTCCGATTGACGCTTTCACACAACACAAACAAACCGAACTTTTGGTTCGAATGGACTGTTTGGTGCACACCGAATACTGTCGGTGTAAAAGCACCCTTAAAGGATTATTGTTTTGACTGTTGACTGTAACACCCTCATCAGCAAAATGTCAAAAATGAGAAAAGTGGACGCTGAGTGCAGGATTTTCCAAGAAAAACTGACTTAATTATTGGCATTTTTTTAAAGTTTCGGGTTGTTCATGTTATTATATTATTTTGTAAAAGAAAGAGTTCATCAATTAAAAAAGATTTCTGTAATTGATTTGTGTTTCTCTGCACACATATTTGAACTTATTGCTTTTTTTGGAGTATATATGCCATGAGTTTTCTGATCCGGCCCCTTTGGTATCAAAGTAGGTTGGATACGGCCCCCGGACCACAATGAGT